TGTTCAGGGCCGGTCATTCCAAAATTAACCCTAATGTGTTATACAGGTCGGGTGGAGAGAAAATCCTTTGCACTTTTGTAAAAATTACACAAAAATAACTTTTGTAACTTTTGTTGTTAGAATTTGCAGTTTTCTAGTATTGGGCCATGTTAGGACAGCAGGAATGTGGAGCTAAAAAATAGTAGTATATTGCAGGAACTTGAAGTACTGGTAGGTAGTAAAGTTTTTGGTATTGGGTTGCTATCTCAGCAGGAATATTGAGCTAAATTGTTAGTTAGATTTAGTTTATTCGTTGAGATGATTAAATTATGATGAGAACAATTTAGTCAAAATTGACGAGAATAATTTTGAGCGATTGAAGGAGGGAAATAATTATGGTCTTTATTGAAGAAAATTAGATATTTATCAAAAACATTACTTATTTCCAAATAATTCCTAGGACCCTAATATATGAAGCATATATTCTCTCATTTTAGCCATCCAAATTATTTGATCAAGCCTTAGGTAACAACTATAATGAATTTTTAAAACATTGCCTATTCTTCAAGTACCATCAGGTAAATTGAACGATCCCGATGAAAGAATTCGCAGGAACGCCAATGAGTCGTCCTTGATCGAAGAGGGCGAGGTAGACAGCTTGGCATTGGTGTGTATACGTCCTCGCGAGCAACGGTAAGCCGCAAAAACCAGAAGAAGTTGCACTCGGCCGGGGATTACCTAATAAGTAGCTGACTTTTCCGCCTCTCTTCGCCTGTTAAGTGCCCGGCGCGTCGGACTTTGGGTAAATCGAGGATATTGACTTTACCGGGACGCGATAACGTCGACCGGCGAGTATCGGTAGCGTTCCGCAAAAAGCTCTTTTTTCTAGGTAAAGCGCGGATTATTAATTTCCAGCACGTTTCGGTCGACGAGTGGATTGCGTTATACGTCGAATAAATTAATCTTTCGAGCTTTGAGAACACAACTAATTAACATTTTGGGATGTTGGAGGCATCGCTGTTGATGCTTTTATGCCCGGTTTCACCAACGACAAATACATCTATAAATAGTTATTCGATGAATAACTTTTAAACTCCTGTTAAATATTTTGACGTTTCACCAAAACTTTCAATCTTTAATTAGTGATTTAACAAATAATTCTGATAAACCAACCTTTAAAATTAAAATATTTCCAAAAAATAAGATTTCGAGCTAAATTGTTGAGGTTATTTTTTGGTTTTTATCACTGTGACATGTGCTGAGTATTGTTATTTTATTATATTTGGAGTTTGAGTTTTAGAGTAATTTTGAAATTGATCGAAAAAGGGAAAGAAGCAAAAATTACTTGGACGAAGAGAAAGGAAACTTTAACGATCCTTCTTTCTAAAACAATTCGAGGTCGTCTATAAAGAAAAATCTTCATCAAATGATGTTGAAGATGATGATGAAGATGATGCTAAAAAACTAATAGATAAATCATTTTGAAATATAACTTAAGAATTGCATAATATGTATTATCTTACCTACCTGTTATCCATTATTACCTGTTATTCAACGCTATTTGTTATTGGTGGATCAAAATAGTGTATTTTTATTAGGTAGTTAAATTTATTCATCAAATAAGGTCTAAATTTTCGTTGGTGAAACCGGGCATTAGTAAATTAATTTCGAGTTTCGGAACTTCAGATTAGTTTTCTCTCAAATAGTGTTCCTGGTGTATTAATTATTACATTCAATAGCTCATATTTATTTCACAAGTAATTTGAGGCTTTTAATAATCCAAAATACTCAAAAAACGTTTCATTAGTTCCTCTCTCAAACTTGTTAAAATTCTTCTAATTTAATTTTATCACAAATTTACTTTTATCACAAAATTATTTAAATTTATGTTTTACAAAATGTTTTATTAGGTGAAATAAATAGAAATAAAATGATAGATAATTTTGTGAAAGATTATTTTTTACCAAATATTTAAAAATCTTTTATAATATTTTATGTTTCAATAAAATATTTCATGGGATTTTTCAACTTAATATGAACGCTCTGCCATCTGTGTTTCAGTAGCGTAAATGCAATGAGAGTGCAAGCGAAATGATCTCACGAATAGATGGCAGTGTAGGCGAGAAATTAAACAAAAATCAATATTATTTTTTTTGGGAGATAAACTTAATTATTTGAATCAACTATTAGGGATTTTTAGGTAGTAATTTTAATAACTTGGTTGTTAGATAGTGGAATAATTTTTCCCCGATTAGATGGAAATTCAATATGAAAAATTGACATAAAATGGATATGAGTCAATTCATTCTATAGTAGAAAAAAGAAGTAAACTGTAGTTACCATTGTTAATCCAACAATTTGAAGAATTGAACAATTTTCTTCAAATTGCATGTTATATAGGGTGATTTAAAATAGCAATTTAATATGAAAATTTTTATGCGAAAAATTATTAAATATTTCTCTTAGAATTTTTCTTAGTTTTTAGAAAATAAAGTGTGTAAAAATAGGAAAAATTAAAATTTGCCTCATTATCTACAGGGTGTTAATTAATTGAATGCCGATACTTCAGAATGTGAATATTTTAAGATGATTTTAAGAAGAAAAGTTTATATCAATGTATCTCTTAAACCTTTAGTTTTCAAGCTACATTTTCTTATTATTCCAGATATTTTCACAACTTGAAGAATCGGCATTCAATTAATTAACACCCTATATATCTGAAAATACTAAAGATTGTTTTTCTCTATAGGTTTTTGACAGTATCAAATTTAATCCTTATTCATTTTTGTAAAGAAATTGAATTGTCTTCAAGTTTTTTTCTTTCTCGATGCCATTTCATCCAAGTTCCAAGCGATTAATTCCTATTTGACTATTATTGCCAACTTCAACTACAACACGGTCTACTTACTAGGAATTAATCCCCAAACCTTTCAATATTCCATCTAACTTCTCTCCTCTAAAATCTACATTATTACATTTTTGTAGCAAGTTTTCTAAACTTTCGACCTACTAGATCAAAGCCAGCATACTTTATATAGATTTTTAGGAGGAACATTTTAATAATCCCGCATACAATGGACAACCGCACATCATGAATCACATTATACTAAGTACTTGGACCATTGGAGTTTATGTTCCGTCTTCCCACTACCGATTACAAACTGAACCGAAGAACCGTTTCAATGCGATGACACGCCGAGTATTTTATGCTTTTCTAAATTAATGTGTATCGCCGTAAAAGGAATATGTAGAGAGTAGAGAACGCTTTATTTTCTTCAAAGTTATATGCACAATTAGTGGTAGTAAAGATTGCAAAACTGTTAATTGGTTTAATGTATGTGCTTGCTTAAAAGTAGGTATTAGGAGGAGAACTTTAAATTGGTATTCATCAGGAATTTCATGATTACTCATGCGAATGCTGAGGCATCGAGCGAAATTAATGAAACAACAGTTACAAGAGGAATTTCCTTAAGCATAACATGTGTATATCTAATTTTCTAAACGGCAATCAGATATAACCAACCGTTGAAACCAACGTGTCGTCTTTTTGCCAGGTTTGTGCAGAGTTCACTTCCAAAAAATGTCGGCGAGTACCGGCATCGGCGCGCTCGACATAAATCTTCGCGAGTCAAGTGATTAATTTTCTCGTTGGCTATTATCCCAATCAAAAGTGAATTACGCGGCCTAGCAGGAATTCCTCATGTTTACAACTTTTTACAAGTTTGCTCGCAGGTAGGTCTGTCGCTCAGCCCGGCTTGCCGCGTTTGTAATAAGTCATTGGGCGTTTAAGTCGACTACTTTCCGAGAATGCTTTCGAAATGTTTCGAAGAACTACTGGGTTTCAGTTGCTCGTTAGCGTTTGGTGTTCTTCGGAAAGTCCAAATGAGTTTATTATGAGCATTTTTTCGAATTACTTAAAGCGGCGTTTTTAATTTCGGCGGTGGTAAATTGGTAGCAGAAATATTTATATTTATTATACCTGAGAGGTTAAAAGGGAATTTTAATCCTACAGGTAAATGGGGCACGAGAATATTTCAGACAGAACAGGGGATTATTTGAGTTCATAGCAAACTTTTAATGACATTGAACATTTTTGGGCGAAGTTTTAAAAAGTAGAGCAATGAGCAAATTTACATTGAAAGGTTTTGAAAGAGTAGAAGAAATTAGAGTATAGGAATAGAGTAGAGCAGTAGAGTACTCATAGAGTAATTCTTATAATGAAAGAGAATCTGTCCATGAAAATACTTTGCAGTAAACTTTTATTAAACTGTAGAAAAGGGCAGAGTAAAGTAGAGTACAAGAGAGTAGAGTAATCAAACGAAAATACTTCCTGTTAACGATATAAAATATAGGGCGATCCATTTAAATTAACAGAGAAAATGTTACTTTTGCGTTTGGATCCACCCTGTAAGCAGTATGATTAAAATTGACAAAAAATATTCATTTTGTACATTTTCAGGATATTAGCAATGTTGTAAAACGTGAAATTTATTTTCAATTCAATCCATTTAGGTTCTACAGAGTGGTAAACTTAGTACGATTTTCGTGGAAAAATGGTCATAACTTTTGAACCACTCAGTATAACGTTATACAAAATTATATTTTTGGAAAGCTGAAAACGAGCTAAATTCAATTTTTAAATAAAAAACAGGGTGTTCCATTTAAAAAAGTATAAGTTTGATCTACTACGGAAAAACGGGACACTCTGTATGAATGTAACTAATTTTAAAATGTGCAGTTTAAAATGATCTACAACTTTTGTAATGACGTTTTTTTGATATCTTCTACAATAACAGATATATTGAGCTTTTCCATACTAATGTGCCACCCTGTATGTGTGTACTTATGGAGGTTAAAAGGTCCCTAAAGGGTCATATATCAATATATCATAAAATGGACGCAGGTGTCGTTTTAAAAACGTTTTAGTCCTAATGGATCATTGGAGAATTTCGAATGAACAAAATACTCAAATGAAATGGTCCATCAGTAAAGGTTACTGCGTTGCTAAAATATTTACTTACCTTGCTCTCGCAGACTTTGTGGCAGACATATTTGCAAACTGAAACAAAACAAAACGAAAACCAATAAATAAAATTACTTTTACAGCAGATATAAGATCGCCTATTGATTAATTAAAGTTCAATTAACCTAATCCATTTAAACAATTACTTAATTAACAAAGCGCTTACTCAGTCTCTGAAAACGTCTTTGAAAACGGCTAGATCGTAATAATTTCGCGGAAGGAAAAGAGAATGGAGCACGGCAATCGCGACTGAAATCTGAAATCTCTGCGATTTTTATGGCGACGCCGCTAAATCACCCCCCGTCGTTTTCGCAATTGATCAAACAAGCTGCAGAACGAGAGCTCCAAAGGTAGCACGCTGAGAAAGCAATTCCACCGATAGTTGCTCACAATTAAAATTGAGTTGTTTTCCATCGCGAGACCCGACCGGACTCGAATTAGTCGAAAATCTAATTAAAGGAAATGTCGGAGGTCACCAACTGCATGATGCAATCAAGAATATAATATTGCTTCAAAATAAGAACAAATTGTATCTACTATACGTACTCAAAGTGTTATAGTACACACTCCCTTTCTCGTACTCGCTTATCCAGCAGGATAGATAAGGAAGTGAATACTTCACTGAACGATAGTACACGATTAGTCATGTTTTTGAATCTTCCACCTTATCAGAATGGAAATCAATTTACGCGGCGACGTCGGATCGTAAAGAAAATCGAGAACTTGGCGTCGGATCATTAGTCATCCGAGGAATTTTCACGCTACACCTTCATCGCGTCGCCGACTGATTCCTTTTTAATTACCGAAGACGCCACTCGGTTTAGTATGGAGATCTTTTCCAAACCCTCGTCGTTAATTACGGAATCGATAACTTTGAAGTCGGGCTCGAACTAATTACGTACTAAATATCGTTCTGTGTAATTAAAACGCTCTACATGCAACCCTTGTTGAACGAGTAGTTTACATGCCAAAAGGCGCCACCTATATGGGTGTAAAGAGGAGAGAGGAGAGAGGAGAGAGGAGAGAGGAGAGAGGAGAGAGGAGAGAGGAGAGAGGAGAGAGGAGAGAGGAGAGAGGAGAGAGGAGAGAGGAGAGAGGAGAGAGGAGAGAGGAGAGGAGGAGGAGAGAGGAGAGAGAGAGAGGAGAGAGGAGAGAGAGAGGAGGAGAGGAGAGAGGAGAGAGGAGAGAGGAGAGAGGAGAGAGGAGAGAGGAGAGAGGAGAGAGGAGAGAGGAGAGAGGAGAGAGGAGAGAGGAGAGAGGAGAGAGGAGAGAGGAGAGAGGAGAGAGGAGAGAGGAGAGAGGAGAGAGGAGAGAGGAGAGAGGAGAGAGGAGAGAGGAGGGAGGAGAGAGGAGAGAGGAGAGAGGAGAGAGGAGAGAGGAGAGAGGAGAGAGGTGAGAGGAGAGAGGAGAGAGGAGAGAGGAGAGAGGAGAGAGGAGAGAGAGGAGAGAGGAGAGAGAGGAGAGGAGAGAGGAGAGAGGAGAGAGGAGAGAGGAGAGAGGAGAGAGGAGAGAGTAGTCAATTATCTCAACTTCTTGAATTGCTTTACCTTACTTCATTAACAAATTACTAATATTTCTATCCCCGAAAATTTACTATATTAAGTAGATAAATAGGGTATTTTAAACGAATCATCCTATACAAAGCGTTTCAGAATATTTCACCATTTGATTCCTATTAATTAATTTTAATTCAAGTCAAACATCCTTACATACATAGTATACGTTTTCCGTCGAAATATTCTCACACACGAAGATACTTCTGCTCGACTGTGAGTTGAGCGGATTTTTTTCCTCGTTTCGAGACTGGCATCCAACATCATGTTGCAGTGACGTACCGCCGGTTTGTCTTGTCACTCAAAACGTTAAAACGAAAAGCACGAGCGACGGAGCCTTCTAGAATGTTCAAGGAGCGTTTTCCCATGCATATTTTTCGTTATAATGAGTGCCGTACGTGACTCTACAGGTGCACTTCCCATTGATTTATATTTTTAGTTTCTAATAAAGATGTGCGCATGAAATTTTTTCCGAGTTAATTAGTGTTTGCTCAAGTGCGCTCGTCGATGGAGGAAGAAATGTTGGTTTAACGGAGTTCGGAAAAAAATTACTAATTAAATGCGAGTTAAATTGATCGTGTAATAGAATGGTGGATTGCTCAATTAGTGCGTTGATTAACTAAAAATACTTGAAATTTTCAACCCAACGCGAATATTATAATTGATACGAAATAAAATCCGCGCGTTCGTTATAAAATAGCGTAACGTTATGATTACGTATTTTCAGCAAGACCTCTCTTTAATAGAAATTTTTTAGTAAATTGCGTGGGATCGAGGCGCATCCACAATCTTCTCACGTCCTTATACGAACATTCATGCAAATTCTCCCAATATAGCGGAAAAAAAACAACTCACCTCTGCAACATGACCCCTCGTTGAGAATGGGCTGATGGCAAAGGTGGCAGGGTCGGGGCTTCTTGAACGTTTTGCAGCGAAACGCATGATTGGGGCCTTGAGACCAGCCGCCAAAGGTTTCATCGTTCTGAAATAAAAACACAACGTAAATGAATAAAGGATAATAAAGATCTTGATCATGTCGTAAACAATTTAAAACCCGGCGATATTCCGTACATGCTTGTTTATATGCCGACAATTTATTTGCTTCGTTGAATGTTTTTATGTTCATTAAAAAAACTTTGAAGTATTCGGAATTGCTTCTTTTGCTTACATACTTTTGCCTAAAATAGCATTAAATACGGTAAAATAGTGGAAAAAGTACGTATTTTTGACCAATATTGATATCTATACTCAAAACGACCCCTTCCTTTAAGTAAAATTATTTCTTAACCAGGAATGTGTAATCTCCTTCTATGTTACAAAATTATGATAAAATGTTAATGGATGAAACGGAGAAGTTTGCTTCGCGAGTATAGCAGGGCAAAAGACAATTACGGTTTCCTTGAAAAGTTTCAGGAATTTGGGGATAAAATATTACTTAAACGAAATTTGTAGGGAAGCGTTTTATTAAACGCGGAGTTTATTTAAATTTCATACATAATGGATTAATAAATCACTTAGGTCGAGGAATATTACTGGTAGCGGTTAAAGCTACAATTATTATGAACTCTTTTGTACAAGGGAAGGTAACACTAGTTTACGAATTTTACACTTTATTTAATACTTCGGTGTGTTTATATCAAATATGCAGTAGAAAAAAATCAGCAGGTTTTAACAGGAACGTTCTAAATGGTTCTGGAGCGTTTTAAATGGTTCTATAAACAGTTCTAAATATTCTTGAAGCGTTCTAAAAATGATTCTAGACAGTTCTAAATCTTTTACATCGTTAACCAAAAATGCATCACTACCATTATCCTAAGTTTTTATGTACAAAACTTAGTAAACTGGAATACCTTATTAATAGTCCTGGGTAGAGT